ATAACATTGTTAGACACAATGAGGGATTTTATGTTTTCAAACAGTTGAGAAATTCTCCTCCTTATCTTGAAACAAGAAAGAAAGATGTTTTTGCAATGATACGACAGCTTGGTCTACCAACTTGGTTTATGTCCTTTTCTGCTGCAGATACACGTTGGAATGATCTGATCAGAGCACTAGGAGTTTTAAACGATGGCAAACAGTACACAGATTCTGAAATTGAGAGCATGACATGGACTGAAAAGTCAAAGTTAGTTCAGAAAGACCCAATTACATGTACAGGGTATTTTGATCATCGTTTTCGGACTTTTTTAAATACTGTGCTTAAGAGTGATCATCATCCTATTGGAAAGATACAGGACTTTTTCTACAGAGTTGAATTTCAACAAAGGGGATCACCACATGTTCACATGATTGTTTGGATTGAAAATTCTCCAAAATACTTAGAAAATGATAACAAGGAAATTGTTGCATTTGTTGACAGCTACTTGAAGTGTGAATGGAATACAGAAGACAATTTGATAGAATTGCAAGTTCACAAACACTCACAAACATGCAAAAAAAAGGAAAGGCCGTTTGTAGATTTGGATTTCCACTTCCACCACTCCAAGCTACTATGATATTGGAACCTTTGAACAATGACATTGAGAAATACAAGAAAATGCATAAGACTATGCAAGACAAAGTGATTGACTTTAAAAATGGATGTGACATAAGCTGCACTGTCCAAGACTTTTTTGCAGAATGTACTACAACTATCTGAAGATGATTATATAAAATGCATCAGAAGTTCTTTGAGAACACCCAAAGTATTTTTAAAACGTAAACCCTGTGACTTGAGAGTGAATGCTTACAACAGTACTCTTCTTCATGCATGGGCAGCAAACATTGATATTCAGTATGTTTTGGATCCATATGCTTGTGCAATGTACATTGTCTCATACATAAGTAAATCCCAAATGGGCATGAGTGATCTGCTGAGTAGAGCTGCAAAAGAAGCAAGAGAGGGTAATCTTGACATTAAGAGACAAGTTAGACACATTGGAAATCAATTTCTTAACAGTGTTGAAGTTGGAGCACAAGAAGCAGCATATCTAGTTTTGCTAATGCCCCTTACAAAAGCATCAAGAGATGTAATGTTTATAACCACATCTCCAGTTGATGACCGTGTAATACTTGTCAAACCTGATTCAGAACTCGAAAAGTTGAATGCTAATTCCACAGACATAGAATGCAGTAACATAGTCAAAAGATATGCAAAACGTCCAAAACAACTTGAAAACTGGTGTTTAGCTGAGTATGTGTCACAGTTAAATGTTGTTTTCCCAAAGGAAAGTATGACTGATCTGCCTGAAATGGAAATAAATGATGATGAGAGGCACCAGTCAGAAAATGAAGATAGTGGAACTGATACTGAGGATGAATTTAAAGATGACAGCACATTAGTTGTGTTGAGAAATTGAATTAAAATTAAGCGCAGAAAAACACCAAGATATGTGCCTTATAGCTTAAAGACAAACCCAGAAAATTACTATAGAGAAAAACTAATGCTGTTCACTCCATGGCGAAATGAATGTTCTGATCTTCTGTGTGGACATCAGAGCTTTGAGCAGTCATTTAACCAGAAAAAAAATTTTCTTAGCTCAAAAAATCAAACAGTATGAACACAATGCTGATGCGCTTGAGCAGGCAGAACAGATGGCGCAGGATGGTTTGACAGAAGCCTATGATGAATTAGCCCCTGGAGCTCAACAAACTGATGCAGATGATGAATATGAAGGAAATGTTGATTCTGAAACATTTGTTCACTTTAATCCTGAAAGGCCAATTGAACAGAGATTATGTTATAGGAAATGATGTTGGAATTCCATCAACAAGACAACTGAGTGAGCAGAGTTCTGTTAGATTACCCGATGATGAGTATTTAAAGCTTGTAGCCAGTTTAAATTTGAAGCAACGTGAATTCTTCAATCATGTTATGCGATGGATCAATTCTAAACAGGAACCCATTCATGCATATCTGTCAGGAGGTGCAGGAGTTGGGAAGTCAGTGTTAATCAGAGCACTTTATCAAGCTTTACATTGGTATTTATGTGCTAAGGAGGTTGAAAATCCAGATGGTATACGAATTCTTCTTTGTGCATACACTGGTAAAGCTGCATTTAACATTGGTGGTCAAACAATTGCTTCTGCATTTCACCAGAAAATTAATCAAAGGCAGCAAAGCATGCATTGTGATGAACTCAACACATTTAGAACTAAGTATAGAAATCTGTCAGTAGTGATCATAGATGAAATTTCAATGGTTGGCAATGCAAAGTTGGAATTTATCAATGACAGACTTCAGCTTCTTACTGGTTTGAAGAGGCCGTTTGGAGTCATTAGTATTATTGCAGTTGGAGATTTCTTTCAACTTAAACCAATCATGGATTTTTCAAGATTTAAAACAAAATGCCCAAGCACTTGCATGTAATCTTTGGAAAGAAGTAATGCGTCAAAAGGATGATTTAGAATTTGCACAGCTTTTGAACCGTCTTCGTCACAATGAGATGACTTCTGAGGACTTGGATATAATTCACAGGTGCATCATTGCAGAAAAAAGTCCAAATTATCCACACAATGCTCTCCATCTTTTCACAATGAATGCCAAAGTAGATGATTATAACAATAAACTTATAGAGCAACTTCCTGGTGAAAAAGTCATCGTGAAAGCTGTTGACAGTGTCCTCCAAGACCACAGCAAGTCTGTGAAAGACCGACTACTCAGATCATTGCAAAATCAAGATGATGTAAGCAAAACTGCAAATCTCATGACAAGACTTACTCTAGCCATTGGAATGATATATGACATTACAGTTAATATTGATGTTACTGATGGCTTGACAAATGGTTCATCATGTACTGTATTTCTTGTTGAAAAGAGATTACGTGGTGTATCAAGGCCAAGTATAGTGTGGGTGAAGTTTTTAGATTCTGCAGTAGGAAGAATTGCTCGACAGAAATACAGTCAGACATCTTTTCCATGATGATGTTATGGATGATTGGACACCAATATTTGACTGTCAGCGATCTTTTGTTTTCAATTCAACTACATATCAAAGAATACAGTTTCCTTTAAGACCAGCTGCTGGTAAGACAATTCATAAGGCTCAGGGCTGCACTGTTGATGAAATTGTAGTAGATTTGTCTCAGTCAAGGATAAGGAAAACCCCACACATTCATTATGTAGCTCTCAGTAGAGTTAGATCTGTTGACAAATTGCATATTCTGAATTTCAATGAGCAAGCATTAACTATTGATGAAAAAGTTGTAGAAGAAATGGAAAGAATGAGGAAGGAAGCACCTCTAAAACTGTGTTATCATCCATTGTACAAAACAGAGCAGAACAAACTAGAAATTACGTTTAATAATGCAAGATCTCTTCACAAACATTTCGATGAAATTAAAAATGAACCCAATGTTGTCGCATCAGATGTTACTGGTTTTTCAGAAACAAGATTAACCATCAATGATGAACAGAATTTTATGATGGAAGGTTACTTGACTCTTTATAATCATGAAAAGAGAAGTGACAGCAATCGTCCTCATCATGGAACAGCATTATACGTTGAACAAGACCATTTGATGACATGTATCTCAAAATTCAGCAACACTTTGCTTGAATTCATCATAGCTTTAATAAATTTCAGAGACCTTGGAGAAGTGCAAAAAGTTGTTTTATACAAGTTCCCAGCATGTTCTTTTAAAGAATTTGAACATGAAATTATGTTGCACTTAAAACCTTTTGTAGACACAGAGAAAAAATTAATAATTCTTGGAGATTTCAATTTGATTTGTTTACAGGTCACAAAGAATTTCTGAACTTTATGAAGTTGAATTTAAATTGCACACAATTGGTAAAAAAGTTAACTCATGATTCAGGTTCACAACTTGATTTGATATTTACAAACTTCCCTCATTGTGAAACTGATGTGATAGAGGCATATTGGTCAGACCATAAAATGGTTTACTGTACATATACTTTATAAATCTGATATAAGGGACGCATGAGAACTTATTTGGGGGAGATACATCATCTTGTCCCCTCTCCCACCTACCAATGTGCCAGTGTCACTTAGTGACATTTGGTGCATTGACTGGCTGTCAATTGAACTGTTTACAAAGCATATATGTGAACATGTAATGTTATTGTCAGAAAGTTTTGCATTTCTGTCACAAAATTGTTGCAATATTGCACATTTGATACTGTGTGCATATATGTCTGTTGAAGTCATATGAAATTTAGATAGTTGATTGTTATTAACCTTCTTATTTTTTTATATTCTCTACTAATTCTCTGATAAATTTTCAACAAATCTGTTCAATTTTGTATAGAAATAAAAGTTTAAATCTTACTCAGATTTTCTGTTATTATAACTTTCATAGCTAATGTTACACCCCTCCCCCTCCCAAAAAAAGGAGAAATGTTTTTGTTCAATAAAAGCGTATTACACTTCAAAGTTGACAGTACCAGTGTTATATTCTGCAGAAATACTGAGACTGACCTCTTTATGACTAAATTGACAATGAGGTTGGCATTAAGCACTGGTTGAAAAGAAAGCCATTCTTAGCAATTTTATGCTTAGATCAAGCCCAATTACAGGAATTGAATAAAAAGAGGAAGTCCCTACTCTAACAGCTACATGCATAATTCTTGCAGATAAACGTCTTTCACTCAGGTGAGCGATGATAAAACCAGAGTAATTTAATGTTTCCTACTTTCCTTTGATTTCGGTCAATTACTATTACAGTTTGTATTAAGAGGTGTTACAACAGTATATATGGTACACTTAAAACAACTTGTGATGCTGTGTTTTCTGTCGGAGAAGCATTATACATTTTTTGCAAGAAAAAAAGCAAAAATATAAGAGTAATAAGGTGTTCAAACCTAATAACATTTTTTTAGGAATTGAAGTCAACAGCAAATAAGCAAATTAAGCCATCTTGTTATTTGTTTTTAGGAGATCTGTTCAAGCAAAAACATCTGCTTATTATGGATCGGGATCGGGGCCGATTCTTTTAAGCAATCTAGGGTGCAAAGGAGATGAGCCTGCTATTCAGTCGTGTTCTGGTACAAAAAATCCCGGTACTTGTGGGCATTATGAAGACGCCGGTATATCTTGCTCAAATGGTAATTTCTTTCTTTTTCGTTGAAAACATTGGATTGGGACTTTCTTTAACAAATAGAACTTAAGACCTTATCTGAGGAAAGTTTTATTTGCAACTTGTTTTGTAAAACGTGCCACAATGAATGCAGCAATTAATGGTTTTTCTCGCATACTATTTAAAAGAAATTGAAAATGTTTTATCAGTTATACAATATTTGTTCTTTGCTTTTAAGAGAGAGAAAGAGATGAGAAAATCAAGATTTTATGAATCTTCGCTTTTTCTTTAAAGATTGTCCCTCGTTCACTTATGGAAAAGATTGTGAAGATGATTGCGTTTGTGACCGTAGTAACTCCTTGTCATGTGACAAAGACACGGGGGAATGCGTGTGCAAGAGTGGATGGTCAGGTGTACGTTGCACGTGCGGACGAGAAATAAAATGTGGTGAAAATTCGTACTGCGATGAGTACAAATGCCTATGTGTGGACGGTGTTTTCACTAAACCATCCAACTGTTCAGGTATTAAATAATTTTAACACCTTGTACCACTACGTTTACATCCACTGAATATTTTCTCCTTTATTTCTTAAGAAAACCCATTGCGTTCATCCCTGCATAAACTTACATTAGGCATATCACCTGTACAGATTTCTTGATCAGTGGCCGTTCCGTCAATGAAACGTATAAAGACGATCGCATCATTAATACAATAATTAATCTTTTTAATCCTACTTTAATTGATTATTTAAACAGACATACATATAAACAAAAAAATGTCTTTCTTTGTTGTTATTACCGGAATGAACAGTCGCAGCTATTGCAGAAAAAAAACCCGCTTACGCGGGTTATGTATTTTTTCTGCAACAGCTGCTTCCGTTCATTCCAGTAATAACAAATAAAGAAAGCATTTTATTGTTTAAATATAGTAACAAATTGCACATAAAGCATATTTTTTATTTATTTTTTCTCATGTGTTTCTGGTCATTTTACTCAGGAAAATGAATAAACTATATAACATAACATAACCGAAAGATATTTCGAAACTTCTAAATTTCAAGTATTTCAATCATTTATATACTTGATCTTATTAAGTATTGTGCCTTCTTGAAATTTTTGAAATTTATATCTATTTGGGATGTTGATCGATAAATCAGAGATGGACTCGGTGATATTGCATTTAATCTATAAAACTACTGGTTTTGTCTTCGTATTTCATCTTTCTCAGTTGTTTTTTTGTAAATTACACCATTAAAATAAAATGCGTTATAAAGATACCAAATTATAATTATTTATTATTCTGCTAGGAGAGAAATTGCTACCTTTAAGCATACCGGTATTGCTATCTTCGTAATAATATGAATCCACCTTTTACAAAAGAACTTGTATAATAAATAAGATTGCGTATGTCTAAAGAGAAAGGTTGAGAAAACTGTCCATTAGTTTCAGCCAATGGCATATTGGCATCTCAATAGGAAAATGATCCTGACTTAATCGATGAACATCTTTTACAGATGTCACAGACGTTTTGTATTCCTGTTCGTTTGAAACAGATTTTGAAACATGTTCAATTAAAAATTATGGCGTCATGAAATGGAGAAAAGATAGCGTAAGTATTTATACTGAATCCTCCGTGAGATTGTAGAAATATCGCTGAATTTTAGAATTAATGAAATTTTATTTGATAGAGTGGAACACCCAGTGACGATACAGGTCCATACTCGGCGAAAGAGGGAAGATACTACGTTTATACAGAGGCCACCAGCCAATCCACTGGCGATAAAGGAGTAATGAAAATATCCGTATCTAATTTAATGTGTGTGTGTGTGTGTGTGTGGGGGGGGGGGGGTGGGTGGTTGTGTCATCTTAGTATGTTTTCTTTCATTTGTCATTTGCTGAATGCTCTTTAAAACATATATACCTGTATATTTGTATATTTTCTTGGAATTTGCTGTGTAACTCATATAGATTTTGTATTTTTTACGACGAAGAAATTTATAACTTCATTATACGTTGAATTTCGTTGTTTTCGTTGCAAAACTCACATTTTCATCTTCTTCTCAAAAATAACTAGGCCGATTTCAACCAAACTTAGCACAATTTATTTTTGGGTAAAGGGGATTCAACTTTAATCAAATAAAGGACCACACCCTCATTCAAAATTTCAAAATAAAAATCTCCTCCAAAGAATGAGCCCAATCATTTTCCCTAACCAAGGGTATACTGTATGAAAGGACAAAAATGATTGTACATCTTCCGTATTTCATCTTTCTCAGATAAAAATTTGTTAAAGTAATATACGCCATAACGTGCGCCAGTATAAAAAACGAAAAAAAGAAATTTATATATTTTGTTTACCAATAAAAGTTACGAAAAAACTGAAAATTACACCATTAAAATAAAATGCGTTATAAAGAAACGAAATTATAATTATCAATTATTCTGCTAGGAGAGAAATTGCTATTTTTAAATAAATCCACCACGTGACGGTGTCGCTACTTTTAGATTGATAAACAAACATGGCGTCAAGATAACGAGGTAAGCCGTTTGAGATACAACAGACTTTTGACATGGATGGCGTCTTACTCTTCATATTACTTATCTTTTAATGTAATCAGTATCAACCATCCAGTCTGTTATGACGCATATTTACCTTTTGTTAAAATAATCGTTGTCAAAATGCAACATGCTTCGTTGTCTATAGTTTCCCGTGACCATGCGTGTCTATATTTAGGCATACTGTTTTCGCACTTCCTTCATCAATATTCATGAAAAGACTGATTTCTTTATTGCAGATATTGTTTTATTTTTCTCTTATTACAACGAGTTTTATAGTTAAAATTTGTGGAAATATTATTTTTTCATTACACTTCATGTGTATCAAATCATTTAATCATTTTGTTTCACGCAAAAATCGGCATTCACATGGCGTATATTACTTTAAGTAAAACAGTAGTATCAAGCAAAAATGATATATGACTTTTTTATGAAATTGAGTCAACAGTTTTTTTTAATAAATGGCCTAAATTTATTTATAACATTTAATATATGTTATGCGAAATACTTTTTTAAATTTATTTTTTTATTCTTCAAGCTACACATGCCTGTTTCCAGTTTTATTATCACATGAGAGGGGGTGATATGGGTGACTTGAATATAACCGCACAGGACACATATGGATCCGAAATTACTAAATGGACAAAGTCAGGACATTTTGGTTCCAGATGGGACAAAGGCTTTTTTTCTCTCCCACCCACCTCTTCATTGGTATGCTAACACTACGTTTTAGATTAAAATGATCAAATTTTTTTACCAATTTAAAATCTTTGTTTTTGGATCAGCGATTTTATTTATTTGAAATGGAGTAATTATTTTGTATTTTGAAAATTATCCAACAAATTTCGATTCATTAGCTTTCTTGTATATATTTCATACATATTAATATAGTCCCATGAAAATATGTGCTTTTTGAGGACAAAGACGCTTTTAAGAGAACGTCATGGATATGTCTTTCTTCTTTTTAGATTAAGATAACTGGTATCAGAGGCGATGGATATCAGTCAGATATTGCACTTGATGACTTCAAAATCTTTCAAGGGCATTGTGGTAAGGGACAAGAACTGCTATCCTCTGAAAATGAAATAAATTTGATTTAGAAATATATTCATATAATCATTGCTCTTTTAGATTGTGATCAATGGAAATATGGATTAACTTGTGAAAAATCATGTGATTGCATAAGAGGAACTTCTGAAGGGTGTAATAGTCAGACTGGAAGCTGTATTTGCCAGTCAGGATGGAGCGGCAAAACATGTAATTGCCGGAAGTCAGGAGACAACTGTCATCCTGCATACTCTTATTGCCATGGAGATGTATGTTTATGCAAAGATGGCGTATATGACACCGGTGTTACGTGCTCCGGTATGATTCAAAAATCGTTTTTTTTATATTATTGTCGAAATGTTCATTAATAAATATTAAAATTTTAAACTAAGTAGCTATGGATTTCCACTATATTGCCAATATAACCATTCAGGTCAAACAACCTTCGAAAAACAAACTTATTTTAATTAAGATATTATGTAATTGTTGCAGGTATCAATGACATCACATTTTTCTGTGCATTTGATATGCCAGACAGTCTCAAACAATGCAAAATTGTATTGCCTCCATTGCAGTGGGAGATCCAAGAGGTGAGATTTCATCATATTGCTTATCATATCTAAACATAAATCAGAAGTATTTGGAATTGAAAAACGTAAAGTCATATTGAAATTAAAGTTATTTTCCCATTCAAAAAAATTAATTTACAAAATATCCAGTATTTATGAGTAATTAAGATCACTGAGATCTTTGTTGCAGGACAGAACACACTCGATTAGTGATAACTATCATCTGACAAACAACCGCTTCTTGCAAACAAGACTGTCTCCGGAAAGCACAATGTTTTCATTCTCTCTCAAGAATATATCGTTAAGTAAGTGTTGCCTGAAATGAGCATATAAATATTCAATTTAAACCTTTCTGAAAGTTATAGATGAAAAAATGTGACTCTTTTTAAATACTTTTGTAGAAACTGATAGTTGTCTTCAAGTCAAATATTTCACACGCGATCCAACGAAACAAAGTCTGCGAATTCAGGTGATAAGAAATGGGCATTTGATAAGTAATAGACTCTTTCGAGAAAGGGATTGGTCAACTGCCCGCATCTCCATAAAGGCATCTTCAGAGATCAAGGTGCGTTTGCATGTCAATAAGCTTGAGGTTAAAACAGTTTTTTGATATTTGCTTAAAAAATTGAAAATTACGTCATTAAAAGAATGTTTACATTTTTTGTAGATTCATTTTATTGTGAACGTCTACAATAGGTTGCCTGTGCTTATAGACGACATAATCATAACGGCAAAGAGATGTGGTAAATTTGTTTTCATTATGTGTTCGCGGATTTTGATATCATAAAGTAGATGTAATTTTTATAAATTAATAAATTAAATCTTATTTAGACTTACATATCAATTGATTGACAAAATAAATAAAATGAACTTGTGAATACTCTATATAGTTCTAACTTTTTTGTCTTTGCATTCATGATAGCGTAAGCTTAGAATACTTCATGCAATTTGATACTGATTCCATTATTTTTGCAATTGCTATTGAACCGCTATTCACTAAACACGTTATTCAAATTCACCTTTATAATTTTCTTCATGCATTTGGAACATTAAAAGCCGAATCATAACGTATTATTTTCTTTTTCTTTCTTTGATTGAGAATAGCTCTTTTTTTCCTTAATCGTTTTGTCTTAAGTTCTTTCTGAGGGTTGTTTACATCTGTGAAATCCAATCTTGGACCTTAATTTAAGAAAATCTTAAATAAGTATAGATAAAAAAAAAATTCTATGTCAAATTTTGAATGCATTCTAGTATTTAGGATGATAAAATACACTTCAATATTTACTTAAACACCCCGGAACAGATTTTACTGTCTCTTAATATTATTCTAACAAATGTAGTCCAGAATTGAAATTATGAGCATGTTATAATCTAATGTAAAACAGATTTTTGATCTGCACTTTGTTTTTAGATTAATTTTATTCTCTACAGGTGCTTGTTCACAGTGGTACTATGGCTCAGATTGTGAAAAGATGTCGAAATGTAACCGTACAAATACTCTTTCATTTGACCACCAAGATCATTGCACTTGTAAGGCAAACTGGCGGGGTGAAAAATGTGACTGTACAAAATCAGAGAACGAAGCGTGTCTCAAACAGGGGGAGATCTGCATGGGTGGCACTTGTTCATGTGAGATTGGATATACAAGAGCTGGATTGGGCTGTAGAGGTATTTTGTTTATTTTAGTATTTGTTGGTAACGTTCCTCTCTAGAATTTATTGAGTTAAAGTTGCTACCTCTCTCTCCCGTGTATCAAAAGGTGCTATGCGTTTTGAATTAAAAAACATTATTACCTTTATAATACATGTTAAGTTGAACCGTTGTGTTTTTCACACTTGGCTGTTTAACAGAACATAATACTTTTTTTTTATTTACAGATATTGATGAATGCAAATATCAATGCAAAAGTTCTCTGCAAACATGCACAAATACGAATGGATCGTACTCATGTGTTTGTAATAGGGGTACTGTTGGGGATGGTGCCATTTGCTCGGGTATTTATTCAAAATGGAATATAAGTTTATTATAATGGAATGCATTTTTACCTATGGAAATTTCTACATAGTTTTAAAGACTATTCTATCTAAAGAAAATTACATAAATATTGTTCTTTTTTCCGTTCAAGCGTTTTGAGTTAATTTAGAGTGTCTTTGAAACAAAATAATTTTGCAAGAGAACATTGAAAAAGCCTCTTTTACAGAGACAGGTCAAAGGCAATAATAATAACTAATGTCAATATTATCAGAAGAATAATACATAAACGTGCTGATCCGTAAATTATTTCTTGTGCAATGTTCAAAGAAAAACAAATATTAAGATTGGTAGAAATACATGTACTTACGTTGTATGTTTTAGAATCGCCGCTGGTCATTACAAATGGGTCTACACCAATGGACGGAATCGTACTGATGTGGCGAGACAATGTCTGGGGTGCATTATGTCAGTCTTTCGATCTGTTTACAGCTATGCTAGCTTGCAATACTCTTTTCAATGACGAAATGTGAGTTGCATAGGAAATTTACGTATCAATTTTCTTAATTTGAAATACATGTACTTACCTTGCTGACTACGCATCACTTCTTATAAATGGAATGCATGCTAAGTTTTGGAATTCTAACAATTGTATTTTATCTTATGAAGAAATTTCTTTCAAAATAATATGTTTGATTCATATCTAACCATAGACATGGCGTTCATCTTGCTCAGGAAGGAGGCTACAAATCGCCAAATGGGGTCACATACAAGTCGTTTGTATGTGATCAAAAGAGTAAAGGATTTGAGCTTACAAAATGTAATGTCTCTATTGAGCCCTGTGACACTGAGAAGGAGGCGATGCACTTATCCTGTGGCGGTGAGTATTTTGAATAAAATATACAAATACAAAAATGTTGGTCTTTATGAATGAACACCTTTAAAAAATTATTTTGCATGAAAGCCCGTTTGACAATTATGAAAATTGTCTATGCTTCTTACATAGAAATGCAGTAGTATTTGTCGGTTGACAGTTCGTTTTCCAGAAATTAGATTATTTTTCTCGACCTAACCTATAGCTATTGATGGATTTTAGAAAGTGATAGGTACATCACCATCTCTTTTGATAATAAAGTTGATTTAAGTGTAAACAGATATAATTTATGACGATTTTGTTATAATCTAGACATAACTTATGTTATTGGGCCATGTACACCTGTGTCGTGCTTAACAATAACCTTGATTGTTTTGTGGTTATGCCAGATATTTTTCTTATTTAATATTCCAGTCTGTGGAGGGGTTTATACAAATCCGTTTGGACTAGTGGAGCCACCTCTTCAAGTTCCAGCAAATACAATGTGCTTCTTTTTATTGAAGCCTTTTAATTCTAAAACTATCAATGCAACATTAATTTCTTTCTCAATGAATCCAAATGATCAGTTTCGAAGAAAACGGTATTCACCAGTAACTCAGATTCCATGCGACGACACATATCTTGAGGTATGGATGCATTGACATTCTTACGAATTCTTCCCTTCAATTTTTAAAGGATTTCAAATTATAATGACGTATTTACCTAATATGTAAACCGCAATTAGAATCAAGTTTCCAATTTTAGGTATTCAATGGTCCAGGGCCGGAGTCACCTTTTATCGGGCGATATTGTAACAATCGACTCCGATTTACTGTCACTTCTACTGGGGATAGTTTATTTATTATTTATAAAACGTCTAGAAACACGTCAAATCACGATTTCCAGGTCATCTACGAATCAGAGAAGAGTGTGGAAGATCGTGAGTTTATTCCTAATTTCAGCTGAAATTGATCTATGTTTTGTACAGTTCTTTACGTGGCTTCTGCAGGTTTATATTCTTCAACCAGATAATTGCCCTTTGCTTAAACTTTAGAAATTATGAATTTTACTGTAAATACTGTAAAACTTTTTAAAGAAATAATTTATCCTAATTATCCATGTTTACTTTGTTCTCTTTGTTCTTTCAGCACACGTACTTGGGGAACGCTGTAGTCATTCTGTTCAGTGTGTAGCGAACAATGCCTCCTGTGTCAATAACAAATGTACATGTCATAGAGATTATTACATGTTTGATACAGCCACTTGCTTGGAACGTAAGTCTTGTATGCCCTAAGAAAAAAATACAAGGAGTTCCAAATAAATTGCATGATTTTTTGTAAGATTGATAGTTCATTCAGAGTAATCTACAAAGTATATGTATATTGATCGACTTATTAACTGCATAGACCAAGAAAAAAAGTGAGGATAAAACAAGATTAGATGCTAGTGACATTATCTTTAATTTTATTTGAAAATTCTAAAACAGACCCCGATTGATTGATTGATTGATTGAAAATATTGTTTAACGTCCCTCTCGAAAATTTTTCACTCATATGGAGACGTCACCGTTTGCCGGTGAAGGGCTTCAAATTTAGACCTATACTCGGCACTCAGGGCCATTGAGCAGTGAGGGTTCTTTATCGTGCCAGCGCCTACCGTCACACGGAACCTACGTTTTTAAGGTCATATCCGAAAGACCCGTGACTTTCACTTCTGATTCCGAGCGCTTGGCGAAGGAACAGTCACTACCTATTTTTACGTCTTAGGTTTGACGCAGCACCGGGTAAGAGAATCGAACCCGGGCCTCCCGATCACGAATCGAACGCTCTACCACTAGGCTACCGCGAACGGTAAAACTGACCCCGATAAAAAGATTTATATAGATTCATGTTAGACTAATCCATTCAAGATTGTCAAGGAAAGTTCAAGACTATATAGATGTACCTGAAAGTTAACAAAGGAAAAGTTGACCACGTATGGACAAACACTTCAAGATTTCAATTATTTGAGATTTACAAGTAGAGCTTTTTTAAAAAGCTTACCGTCTTTAGCAACAATCTTACACAAAACTGATCTACCTATCAGGCCTTATCATTTTTCTCTTGATTTTGTATTTCTAAATGAGCTTTTTACTGGCATTTGCCCTACCGCGGTTGTCGCTCGGTCATCTCCGTAAACTTTGACTGGCCGAGCAATCGGCAATCCTCGGCTGACTCCGCTACGTTCCATTCAAACGTTAAGTGCGAGTTACGAGTCATCCGAGGAACTCCGGGTACTGGCCGAGAGCTTTCGGTTCACCTCGGCTGATTCCGTTACCTTCTTCAAACAAGAAAGGGAAAAAGAATAATAGCAAATTGTAAACCCTGCAAGCAATAAATAAAATTTTACTTACAATGAAATTAGAGACCTTTTTGATTATTCCTATTAAGAAAATAGCATGTTATTTAGAATTAATTGCTGCTGATTTTGTTCTTCGTTTTTTTCATTTTTTAAGATTGAAAATCTTGCAAAATTGTTAAGTCGTACGTTTTTATTTTTGAAAGGAAAACTTTGGAACTCTTCATGTGATGTAAATGAACAATGCAAAACCTCTTACTGCCATCCTGAAAACCAAGTGTGTAATTGTCCTGTGTACTCAGAAATTGATTTAGTTAACGAAGTATGTGTTGCCAAACAAGGTAAGATTTCCAAGTTATATTTGTTTCCCTGTGTATCACAATGTATATATATTTTTATATCAACGTTTTTGATCATAAGTAAGAATTAAGATTTTCATTCCGTAAGCAAAATGTATTGAAAACTGAGTTTCAATAACCGCAAGTGAAATTTAAGAAGCCCCATCTTGGTAGACTTTTATCTCAGAGTGAAAGAAGCAGAAAATGAATCATGTAGGTGTTGAGTAGTTAAAGAAACCACCTAGTAGACAGATGGCGTCCAATTTTACATAACATATCTGTATTCAATCTATTTTCAGCAAAATCAACAGAAGAACAACAACAACAGTGGTTGATCCCTGTCCTGCTTCTCATCGTCATACTGATAATAATACTTATTGCTGTCATCGTTATATTCGCTAGAAGAAAGGGATACATTCTGTAATTAATACTTTTGAATAACTTAATATATCTCTTTTGCATTCTTTAATGTATATTTCCTATGTTAAGCAAGAAATATATTGAATCCTGAGACCTAAGTTACTTAACAAAAATACTGTATCTTTGGCTAAGGTAAACACAGTGATATTTTCATCAGTGATCGTTAATACACGTATATATTCTATTTTCAAAAGATTTTGGGTATCAACTTTCGAACAAATCTGTTGTATAAAATTGCAAGTGTAGATTAATCTTTGCTGCAGGGGTTGGTTGAAAAGCACATTATTATACTTTATGTAGAATGGTTTATAAAGGTAAGAGATAACCTCATAAAAGAGAACTTTAGACTTGCAAACATAAACATAAAAAAAATTGTTTTTACAGATGGGGAACGGGAAATGATGCCACGTTTACGTATTCGGAGCTAATGTCAGCATCCAACCCATTGTATGCGTAAGGCATTTAAAAATACGTTTATTTGTATATAATTTTTGTAATTTCATTAATTTTCTTTCTGAAAATTTTCATTTATATGACTTAGGTAATTTACTAATTTTTAGAATTTAAAAACAAACATTAATTGTCTTGTCTTAGTGGGAATTGATTTCTTAATCAGTGCTTTTAAAGGGTATGAATTTTTTATTTTAATTTTTCTAACAATAATTGAAATGAAGTGCCTAACAATAATTGAAATGAAGTGCATAAAAACCAACGTCGCAGTATATGGATTTTGTTCCAGAATATTCAATTTTTCTTGTCATTGAAACATGTTTTCTACCAAATTACTTTTAAATGTCATAATTCAATGATAATTTTTAAAATTTGTAGGATCATATTGTCATAAAAATAAATCATACTCAAAAATAGATTTTTGATTTACTACAGAGTTCTGTGTTTGGCGCGGTTTAGAATTGCTACTGAATTTAACTGACAAAATTATGCTGTTTTTTTTTTTAGATATAATACAGACGACAAGAGTTCGCATCGAGGTTCTGTAATTTCTATAAACCAAGCAGCAGATAGTACCCACAGGTAATATATCTAAATTGCAATTCTTTCTTTTTACATATAATATTTAGCGTCAATTTATAACCAGTAAGTTTGACTTTGTTTATTTTGATTTGTTTATAGGATACTTTTGAGTACATTTGGAGACACCTATGAGAGTTTGTGTGATGATGTTAGTTGGCCAGAAGAAGAATTTAGGGTAAATCATTTTTTCCTTTTTTTAGAAATACATTTTTATGAAGCTCTAACACGGTATTTTTATTCTGTTCAGAGAATACTGAGATCCTGCGAGCAGAGACCTACAGACATAGGAGCAGCATCACAGAACAGACATAAAAACAGAAGCAGAGACGTCTTGCCATGTAATGTCACTTTTTCTAATTTCTAATAATAAAAAAAAATGTTTTTTTTTTAAATTTACTTCTCGAAAAGGACATCTATATATTCCTCATATTACTTTTCTCTTTATTTTTACCAAAAAAGGCCAGTCCTTTGAACAACACTGATGATATAATGGACATGCCGTTGATAAAAATGAAAATAAAACAGTTCGCTTTCTTATAAAGTTACATGTAAATTATGCTCTGTACGTTACGCTTTATATTTTTTAGACGACTACAACGGATTGAGGGAATCCGGTACAACCAGTGTGAACGACTACATCAACGCGAGTGTTATAGAGGTAAATAACTTGTAAAACAGTGATGCTTTTAACTGTAGGTCAATCATGATTATAATATATGTCTATGTTATTTTTTATTTGTCAGGGTCTACATAGTCACTACCCTTATTACATTGTGACACAATATCCGCTAATTTCGACTCAAAATGACTTTTGGGGAATGGTTTGGAAGCAAAGAGTAGCATCGATTATTAGTCTTGTTTCCAGCAGTGAGAAGGTATTTTTTCTCTCTGACTACTGTAAAATCACATATTACATGTATTGTGGGGTCAAATTTTAGAGGTTTGGGGAAAAAATATTGGTTTGTGGGGATTTTAATTCAGTGTTGGAAAATGTTTTATTTATAGTTATATTAATAATGCTTGTTCTTTTTTCTAAAAGTATTATAAAGATTAGTATGTTTTCATGAAGAAAAGATAACTCGAAGAAAAACAAAAGAAAAAACATACAATTTTTCACACATATAATTATACCCCCCGCAAACGAAGTTTAGGGGGGGGGGGTTATATTGGAATCACCATGTCCGTCTGTCCGTCTGTCCGCCTGTCTGTAGACGAGATTTTGTCCGGACCATTACTCAGAAACTATTGGAAGGATTTGCCTGAAAATTTGTACACTTATTATTCACCATATGAAGTTGTGCACCTGATATTTTCATTTTGATTTGATTATTATTTTGAATTTTACATGTGTTTTTTCAATTTTATTTTGTGGTTTTGTCTGGACCGTTTCTCAGAAACTATTGCAAGGATTAATCTGAAAATTTGTACACTTATTATTCACCATATGAAGGTGTGCACCTGGAATTTTCAACTCTTTTTGTTAATTTTTTTTGCATTTTACAGGTTTTATTTTTTATTTTAATTGACTTGTTCATTTTGGGGTCATGTATAAGGTTTGAGATATAGAATCTAGAATATCTGTTCAAAAATACTACAACTTAAAACTACTCATAAAAACTTAAAAAAAGAAACATCATCAAGTGTTGAAAATAGTTTTTACATTGCACAGAAGATAATGTATTTTCATTTGTCTCTTGGGAATAATGACTGGACATGCATCCAGTTAAAGATAAATTAATGAGTTTGGTGTATGAAGTTGTTAAGGCATATATCTTATCAAGCGTGTGTGTTATCTAATCTCCAGGGAATAATTAAGGCACAAGAATTAAAGATCTCTCTTCTCTTATTCTCTGAATTGTAATTTATTGTCTGTCAAAGCACTTCATTACTGGATGACCTGCTCTTTATTTTCAAAATACATTTCAAATTGATATATCAAGATTAATTTGATTTTGTATTATGTTTTTTTTTCAACAATCAGTTTGCAGAGTGACATAACACATAATTGCAATATATTTTTTTAATGCAGAAATAAAAAAAAATAAAATGAAAAAATAAAAAAAAAATGTTACAATGGAATTACAATGTATTATTATTGATGTTTCATTTGGTTGCACCTTTGTTTCATTCATTAAGAAACATGATGAGCAATTATATTTCACTGCAAATTTTTTGTTAGTAAATTGTGAACACCTCTAGATCCATAAAGTATTTTTGAATTGGCACCTTCTCTGAAAAACCCAGCGGGAGGTATTTGTCCCTATTGGACAGTTCTAGTTAATAATTTGCATGCTTATGAACTTGCAAATAGCAAATAGCAATTTGCAATTGGCAAATATCTTACTTGGCATATACATGTACATCAATAAAATTACTTTGAGTGAATCTTCACAGAATCAAACCACTTACTTTTATGAAATAATTAATCTTATACTGTAAAGGCTATGTATTCTATTTAGCGCCTTTCGCGGAAAGCATCACCCGCTTAACTAAGCACATTGCGATTTTTTTTTTGTATAATTGTTTCATATATTCATATGAAGCATATTCAGAAAGAGTTAATCAAACCTACGCTAACTTGTAAAAAAATCAGTTTCCGCCAAATATCATACACGCCAAATGAAATACATTTACAATGTTCTTCCTTTTTATTTGAAATGTAGGAAGTATACTTTCCAACAAGAACTGGTATGACAAGAACTTTTGGTAAAATCAAGGTGCAAACGCTGTCAACCTTAACTGTTCACAGGTGTACATTCCGATGTTTAAAGATTGTGCAGGTAAGAGGAATCCGTTCTCAGTGTTATAAACTGTAGTGGAAAATATGTCAACACCTAATTTCAAGTTCATATATTGTATTGATTTGAGTTTATTTAAACAATAAAATGCTTTCTTTGTTTGTTATTACTTGAATGAACGGAAGCAGCTGTTGCAGAAAAAATACATAACCCGCGTAAGCGGGTTATGTATTTTTTTTTCTGCAATAGCTGCGACCGTTCATCCCAGTAATAACAAACAAAGAAAGACATTTTATTGTTTATATTTATATCTGTTTAAATAATCAATTAAGGTAGGATTAAAAAGATTAATTACTGTATTAATGATGAGAACGTCTTTATACGTTTCATTGATGGAACAAATACTGATTAAGAAATCTGTACAGGCGACATGCCTACTGTAGTTTATGCAGTGATGAACGCAATGGGGTTTCTTAAGAAATAAAGGAGAAAATATTCAGTGGATGTAAATATATGTAACTACATAGAGTTAAATTTCACTTCAGGGGTCCAAGAACCACACAGTAAATCACTTTCAGTCTTCATTTCTCTCCAACTTCACGAAAGATGAGTGTTCAGATCTTTTAAATCTCATTAATCTTGTGCATTCCAATTCTGAGGAGGGTAATGATAGCAGACCACTTGTCATACACTGTCTGTACGTTCTCATTTTGTTTTACTTTTGAGTTGAATAACTAAATTATACTATTTCTGTCTCACTGAATGTATTTATGAAAGTTAACTTTATTGTAATCTAATTAATGAATATACCCCTGGTATTTTAAATCAGGAATGGAACTGGAAAATCAGGTATCTTCGTTGCCATGGATTATCTCATACAACTTATTAGGAATGGCGATACTTATGTCGATATTTACAACCTCACACACGTCCTGATCGCAAATAGGGAGAAATTAATAGAAAACGAGGTAGGTTTTAAAGCATATTTAAGCATCTTAAAATTTTGTTTGGTTACACGATATACGAGTAAACAGCATATTTTATATTTAAAATACTATTCAGAATAATGTTTCATTTTAAATTCCTTTGAAATATAATACAAAATCAAAGTATTATTTTTTTAAAAAAATCTCTGAAGCAGATTTATGACTCTCTTTCTCTCTCTCTGTCTGTCTGTGTGTGTGTGTGTGTGTGTGTGTGTGTGTGTGTGTGTGTGTGTGTGTGTGTGTGTGAAGGGTGTCAAACGGGGACAGGGGTTAAAGACTGTCAAAGTGGGGACTTCTTCTTTTTTAATATTTCAGTGACTTTTGACTTAAAATATCAATCACCATGTAACCCTGATGACAAATATAATGAGAACATATCAATATCTTTAATTTTAAGCTAAGCACATTTCACAGCACAAACGGGGACCTATTTCACACTCATTAATATTCACACACCAGTTCTTGTTTTATTGTATCTAAACGGGGACATTTACCAAAACGTATAAAATCCTCTCTTTTGTGCCCTTTATTCACTCATTACCACCGTTTTCATCACTGATTAAGACCCCTGTCTTCATAGGCACTTGAATGCTTAATATTTTAAATCAAATATGGAAATTACGAACAGTTTTGCATGATGAAAATATATCTTTAATTTTTCTTCTCAAATAATTTTGAAATTAAGGAATCTGTCTTAAATTTATCAATTTGGCATCACTGACCTCTTTGTCGCAGTAGCATGATTAATGGAATTTAAATATGGTGATTGCAACATAGTTTGCAAAATTCAAAGCTACTTGTTTTACATGTAATTTATGATTTTTCAATTTTTTTTATCTCAGAATTAGAGTATAGAACAAGAAAAATGATTGTCATTTGACATACTTACAACTATAAAAAATATAACACAAGGTCTGAAGGGGGCGCTGATAATACCACTCCAAAAAATAGCCAATTTCAAAATGAAAAGAAAAATTTATATTGACCTTTTGATAATGGTGAGCTATTGAATATAATCGATAAACACTTTAAAATCAAATCCACTGCATTTACGTATACGCTTCATTACAGAATCGGAGTACGACGACTTCTTTAAAATATTTACATTACATTGCATCTTTGATCATACGGAAACCCATTTAGGACCTATCAAAAAATATTTTTGAATTCGTTATAACGATTTTTAGAATTCGTTATAACGAATTTAATTTGTTATAACAGATTTATTGAATTCGTTATAATGAATTCAATTTGATATAACAGATTCATTGAATTCGTTATAACGAATTTAATTTGTTAAAACAGATTCATTAAATTTGTTATAACGAATTTAATTTGTTATAACAGATTCACTAATTTGTTATAACGAATTTTATTTGTTATTACAGATTTATTGAATTCGTTATAACCAATTCAAGAATTTGTTTGTTATAACAGATTTAATTCGTTATAACAAATTCAATAAATCTGTAATAACAAATTCAATTCGTTATAACAAATTAGTGAATCTGTTATAACAAATTAAATTCGTTATCACAAATTTAATGAATCTGTTTTAACAAATTAAATTCGTTATAACGAATTCAGTGAATCTGTTAAAACGAATTAAATTCGTTATAACGAATTCAATGAATCTGTTATAACAAAGAACAAGGTTCACTTTTGCCTTATTTGGCCCTGTGAATTTCTGAAAAACTGAAACAGCATAGTTTTAGTTAACAATGCATTTAAATATCACTTAGATCTACGGAGACTCCGTATCTATAAAAAATGACGTCATTTTCTGGCTAGTAAATGCATTATGACGTCACGAAATGCGTCAATTTCCTCATATTCTATAAAATGTGTACAAAACGGCCAATTTTCAAAGCTATTTTTTGACATTTAATAAAGAGCGCAATCTCTGATCTAAAATATGCAACAAGTAAATGATAGAACTGTTTCTGATGATTAATGGACATGTTTTATTTTTTAGATCAGAGAGTGCGCCCATATCATTTTTCTTCATTGAAAGTACTCAATTATACCTGTTTACCTAAAAATTCAAGAACATTGCAATTTCATAAAGCCAGTTCTCCAAGACCTGGACTTTGAGGAGAAAAATTTTAATAGGATATGAAAGCACCAAGTCTCTACTTTATTTTAATGCTTCAAATAGAAAATCAAGTGTTAATCAATCAATTGGTATATCTACAGGGCCATTTTATGCGTAAAGTGAACCGACTCCTTAAATTCGTTATAACGAATTCAATAAATCTGTTATAACAAATTAAATTCGTTATAACGAATTCTAAAAATCGTTATAACGAATTCAAAAATATTTTTTGATAGGTCCTAAATGGGCTTCCGTATGATCAGGTACTTTTATTAAACAAAAAACATTAACTAAAAAATCTTTCAAAGCAAGGAAAATTATTCATTTTATGTTTTACGCAGAAAACCGATGATCCGGAAGTATTATACCTGTGCAGTATTTTTAATGGCACAAAATGTTTATCAATACATTTCACTAAAGTCAAATAATTTTATTTTTTATAAGAAATATACAAATGAACTAAATTAACAGAAATAAAAAAAGCACAGGAGTTAAATATGTTTTCCAAAACCGTTGCTAAAATTATAAAAGAAAATTTACAAGACATTTCAGTTGCGACTGCTGCAAATAGGGTACTTTAAACCAATAAACTTTTTGCAAAATCATCTGATTGCTTGAGATATGTATACTGTACAGTAAGGTTCGAGCACCCTCGTCCTCATTATTAAAAGCATTATTTCAGAATGTAGACACTTGTGTTGTAGAGTTGCATTTCCCCCATAGCCAACTCCCAACTGCCACACAGGGAATCGTACTCTAGAGCAGAATTTCCCTCCAAGGGGACTTCACACACCAGAACCAAATTACTCCTTGAAGTTCTCTATTTCTTAGCTGCAGATCTGTAGATCTGTAGCTCTCCGAAAAATATATTGATAGACCGCAGAGCTTCAGTACTAGTGCCACCCATTGAAAAAACGGTATATTTATTGCGCACAAAAAAGTGCCCTCAGTTCTCGATTTATTTCTCCATGTTTTTAAAGCTATAATCTCAATATATTACTAACCGTGTGTTCCTTACATATTCTTTCGCTGTTTCCACAACCAAACATCCCTCATAATTGTTGTGAATAGACTAAGTCCTCCTGACCCTGATATTGTAATCATCGAACATTTCGCTTATTTATACTGCCATTTTGGTTTCAAAGATAATTCGGTCCATTATGCTTCGTTCAGATGTCAACTACGAGAGTACTTGATAGAAGATAAAAGAATTCTTTCCTTATTTGCAATGGAGGTAAGAATTTGGAAGAATTAATCAAGAACAGAGCGCACTTTTTTGTGCGCAATAAATATACAGTTTTTTCAATGGGTGGCACTGTAACTCTCCGGTCTATCAATATATTTTTTCGGAGAGCTACAGATCTGCAGCTATCTCTTTCTCAGAGTAGGATCCCCCATCCCTTGTTATATAGAGAGTAAATATAAACCACAGCCGTATTATAATAAAATAAATGACAAACAGATTTTTGAATGATAAATGAGTGTTGCATTTAGGAAGTATATACTTAGTATTTCAAATCATCAACCAAAATGTTTAGCTTTCAAAAGAAACCAGATCTCCCCAGATTAGATGTATTAACACCTCAAATGGCTCAGCGGTAGATGTATTTTTCATGTTCTTTTTGACAAGGCTGTTTTAAAGATTTTTTTTCATAGAAAGTCCTTTATTTATGCATACTTTTTATTACTTATCTTTTGTTTGAATCTAATGAACGGAAGAATTGATTGAGTTCGTATCATGTGAAAACGAATTAATTATTTCATAAATAGTTAGTTTTCTCCTTTTATTTTATACGTCTACTGGTTTTTTCCTCTATAAAAGCTACGCAGTAAATTGTGAATAATTCCCTAGAAATCTCTGCGAATGGACTAATCCCCCTGAGATAGTTAAATGATCTAATCACTGCTTCGGAAGTTAATTCCCCGGTTATCTCTTATCTCTAGATTTTACTTTTGTTTCGGTTCTAATATGTTAAGGGGCTACACTAATCCTCGTGCGTTAGTCCGGAAGCTAATCTCCGGTCATTCGTAATCCTTCATATTTTTAATTACTTTTATATCAGTATAATAACATAGTCAAAAAGTATAAATAAAATATATAATTGGTGAGTTAGCAAGATTCTAGTTCCCCTTGACCAGGACTATTTCCCGAGACACAGCCACTATTATCCGCTGACTAATGAAACCACGCCCTCAAGCGAAGCAACAATCAACACTGCTTAATTTGATGACGGTGATATTATAAAAAAAATATTGATTGTGCAGAATTCATGCGCGCAAGGTTCATTATACCCCCGCTTGAAAAGTGGGAGGGTATATTAAAAAAAATGGTATGCCCGTCCGCCCGTCTGTACGTCTTTCTGTTACGCTTTGGGGTACCCATCTCTTATCTGCAACTCCTGTCATACCACTGAAGGAAATTTAATGCAACTTTCACAGAATCTTTATTACATATTGCCATTGTGACCTCCTATTTTACTTTTTCATCTGACATATATTTTGGATTTTCCAGATCAAAACATGGATACTGCCATTATATTCATATGGGAGGCGGGGGTATTATTTAGTGAGCTCATTGCTCACAGTACCTTTAGTTGTAATATGTTTTCATACAATATTAAGAATATTATAATGCATAAAGCATGTAATTAAATGCTACTTTGGCATTTTCACCCTTCGAAATCTTTGGCAACCTTGGCTGCGCATTAGTTGACAATGGTTTTCTTTGAGTGAAAATGATCCTTTAGCCGCGGGTTTGAGACCGTATAAACCGAAGTACCATGTCGCAGTAGGTGCTGGCACAAAAAAAGATCCCTCACTGCTCAATGACTCTGTTTGCCAAGTGTAGGGCAAAGTTTGAAGCTCTCCACCAGAAAGTGGTGGCGTA